AGGGTGATGCTAACCACCCAGAATCAGCCCTCGGACTCACCTGGCACTGGGAGTCTGACACGCTCGGATACAAACACAGACCCTTTAAGTATGGACAAGTGACTATGCGGAATGTGTACAAAGTCCTTGCTCGGCAGTACGACCCTCTGGGGTACATTCTCCCATATACAACACGTGCTAAGACTCTTGTCCAGCGTCTCTGGGCTAAACAACGCAGCTGGGATGACCCACTTCTTCCCCAAGATGTGCTGCAAGAATGGAAGGACTGGGAGACAGAGCTCCAAGTGCTGCCACGTGTATCACTGCCTCTACCATATCTGCCATCAAAGATAGAGGTTCGCAACAGATAGATCCACATATTCTGCGATGCGTCCGAGAAAGCTTATGGCTCTGTCGCATACCTCAGAACAGAAGACATACAGGGCAAAGTCCACTTGTCATTCCTTGTGGCGAAATCAAGAGTTGCTCCGCGCAGACAGACATCCATGCCCCGATTGGAGCTCTGTGGAGCCCTCACTGGAGCTCAGTTATCCAATCTGCTGGTAAAGGAGCTCACGCTGCCCATAGACCAGACCATACTGTGGACAGACTCCACCACAGTGCTGACGTGGCTCCAATCTGAATCGTGCCGTTTCAAGGTTTTCGTGGGCACCCACGTCTCTGAAATCCAAGAACTCACTGACTCTAGCGGCTGGCGCTACGTAGATTCAGCTCAGAACCCTGCCGACAACATTACACGGGGCAAGATGCTGGAAGAGCTGGCACTGCCAAATCGATGGAGTCAGGGGCCACCCTTCCTCCTCAAGGGACCAGAGGTATGGCCTGAAAGACCATCTAGAGAGGCCGACCCAGATCCTGCAGAATACCGTAAGTCTGTCTTCTGTTGTTTGACATCAACCGTGAGTCAACCCAGAGTCGCCACGGCGGGACAGTATACCTGCTGGGGGGATCTAGTCGAGGCTACTGTGCAGGAGCGTCATGGGGCGGCCACACCGTCTGCTCCCCCTACAGCCTCAGACTATCAGCAAGCAGAGATGCTGGTGATCAAGCAGGCACAATGAGACAGCTTCCCAGAAGAACTGAATCACCTAGAACAGGGTAAGTCTGTGCGGAGCAGCAGTCGTTTACTCACCTTGTCTCCAGAGCTGGACTCTGTTGCAGGAATTATACGGGTGGGAGGAAGGCTGCGAAGAGTGGAGGTGCTTGACTCCAGTGCCATACACCCCATAGTTTTAGAGCCTACCCATCCAGTCACCAAGCTCCTGATCCGGGATTATGATGCTCGCCTCTGTCATCCGGGGCCAGAGCGTGTGCATGCAGAAATGAGACGAACCTTCTGGGTTCTGCGAGGGAGGGAGGCCGTCCACCGCGTCCAGCACCAGTGCCCAGAGTGCCGCCGTTGGAAGGACCGTCCCACAGTGCCTAAGATGTCAGACCTACCACCAGCCCGGCTACGGCTCTTCAAGCCGCCATTCTATTCAACTGGAGTTGATTGTTTTGGGCCGTTTCAGATCAAGTTAGGTCGCTGCGCAGAGAAAAGGTGGGGGATTATCTTCAAATGCCTCACCACCCGCGCTGTGCACTTTGACCTCCTACCCAGCATAGATGTAGACTCCTACTTGATGGCATTGAGGAGGTTCATTGCTCGCAGAGGGACCCCAGTGGAGGTCTATTCCGACCAGGGGACCAATTTCAAAGCTGGCGAGAAGGAGCTATGTGAGGCCTTTGCTAGTATGAATCCAGAGATCCAGAGGCTTCTCGCAAAGCAGAAGATTGCCTTTCACTTTAACCCTCCGGCAGCCCCACATTTCGGTGGGGCCTGGGAACGTGAAATAAGATCAGCAAAGACTGCTCTGTACACAGTTATAGGAGCTCAGTCAGTAACGGAGGAAGTGCTTCGTACTGTCCTACTGGAGGTTGAAGCCATCCTGAACTCCAAGCCCTTAGGCTATACATCCTCCAGTATAGCTGATGAGGACCCAGTCACACCCAATGTCCTCTTAATGGGGCGAACTGAGGGTGCACTGCCTCAAGTAGTGTACCCCATGGACAAAGGCCTAACCAGGAAAAGATGGAGGCATTGCCAAATTCTGGCCGACCAGTTCTGGGCAAGCTTCATCCGGAACTACTTGCCCACCCTACAGCTCCGTCAGAAGTGGCATGCCACCACCGGAGACCTCGCTGTGGGTAATGTGGTACTGCTCGTTGATCCTCAGCTCCCCAGAGCGAGTTGGCCTATTGGGAAGATCGTCGAGGTTCATCAGAGCGCAGACGGTCATGTACGCTCGGCTGATGTCTGAGTGAAGGACAGAGTCTACACCCGGCCAGTGGCCCGGCTCATCCAGCTCCCAGCAATCCCGGATTCAGATGACACCGGAGATCTGTCACCGTCGGAGGATCTTGCAGTCTCTCTAGAGGCCTGAGTCTTTCTGATGAGCGAATTGCCTCAGCAATTCGGGGGCGGCTGTACAAAAGACTCCGCCGATCAGACTGTATTGTTGATTCTGATGTTGCCTGGCAACGGTGATTACGTACATATACAGTGCCAGTTTCCGCCATTAGTGGCGCGTTTTAAGTTTGTTGCCTTTGCAGCAAAGTCAGTAGATTCGAGTGCTCAGTTAGTAGACGTCGTCAGTGCCTTGTCTGTGTGTGTGTGTTATCACTTGTGCGTACCTGATGACAAGTAAGTGTTTATATTGAGTTAATGTCGTAGTTTGTCATGTTGAGAATGAGTCGCATTAGGCGGACGTTTGGTTTAGCTAACCGCTAAGCGGAGATTTAGTATCCCTGTGTTCTCTATGGCGTGATGCTAAAGCTAAAGTACTTGCATTAGTTAGCATGAGGTGGATGCAGTTTTAAGTGGGAAAGAGTAACCTCTGTAGATAGTTAATAATACAGAGATGTGTGTAATGCTTTGTATTAGTTTGGTATGTCTAATATGAATCATTCTGTAATACAATGTAGTCATTTATTTATTTCTTTATTTCTTTGCAGACCATACATACATACATACACACACACGAGCCTGTACCTTCTGAGAGATCCTGTACGAAAGTTGAAGCACATTAAAGGTTTAAAGGAAGACTGCTTGCACTTTATCAGGTTCTAACCGACCTGCCTGAGCAACACCACCTCCAACCACATACAGTCCTACCCTCACCAACACTGTTGCAGCATTTAAAACTTGATCTGCATCTAGAGTTTCAAATACCAAAAATCAGTTAAGTCATTTATTCAATTCTGGTCTAAACTACAATAACATAACAGATAAAACACATATTGAACTTAGTTACAGTCCATCAATGCATATATTATATTTCTAATGTTATTTTTTTTCCATATGTGAACAAGTGAGAAGTTCATTGTGTCCATGTAATGTGTCAGGTGCAAAGGCCATTGTAGCTAGCACAAAGACCCAGTGTTGTAAAATTGCAACATAAACACAACAAGCTCAAAATCAAATTTGATGAATGATTTCCACAATAACTTAACATCTACATGTTCTAAATATTCTAATAAACACAAAAAAAATATTTCAGGTAATTAACTTTCTTAAATCTTGCCAAATCCAGTCCAGTGAAACAAGGAGATGAGCTCAGAGAAAAATTTGCATGGTCAGATGACCAGACCTATAAACACGTATTCTATCCAATAGCATTGTGAGGATAAATAATAGGACCCATTCACTATGAAAATGTGGTTTTTAGAAGAAAAAAAACATTCAGAGATATTTTTTTAGGATGGTTAAATGTGACGTTGTAATATTGCAACAGTGGGCCTTACAGGGTTAAAGGAATCATTAGAGCTGGTTCACATCTCTGTTCATGAGAACACCACATATACATCGTGGTGCATGGTTACATGGTGCATGGTGTCATCCCACAAACACCACAAAGGAAGCCGTTGCTTCAAAAACACATTGTTGCACCCCTGAAGAGCATGTTTACACTCCACAGTGCTACTGGGAAAATGTTTTATGGACTGAAGAAACTATGGTTGCATTTTGGGAAAAACCTGCAGCTCTATATGGGGTGTAAAGGGCATTGCACACTACACCCCAACATCATCATGTCAGGGTGGCTATCCATCTGCTGAAGCTCAGGAGAAGCTGGGTGATTCAGCAGAACAATGACCCTAAACATCAAAGTAAATCTACTAAAGAATGACCTCAGGCAAAGAAAGTCCACCTTCTGGAGTGGCCCAGTCAGAGCCCAGACCTTAATCAAGTAGAGATACAGTAGAATGACCTGAAGAAAAATATGCAAACCAAACATCCTGAGAATATGTCCAAGCTGAAGCAGTTCCTTAAAAAGGAATGGTCCAAAACTCCTCCTGAACATTGAGCAGGTCTGATGAGCAGCTACTGGAAGCTCTTGTTTGAGGTTATTAGTGCCAAATGAGGTTCAACCAGTTATTAAAAGGGTTCACTTACTTTTTCCACCAACACTGTAAATGTTTAATGGCTATATTCAGTAAAACCACAAAATATTATAATTGTTTGTATTATATTAGTTTAGGGACACTGTGTTGGTCTACATTTGTGACTAAGATGAAGATCAGATCACATTTTATGACAAATCAGTGCAGACACCCAAGTCAGTGCAGACACCCAAGTCATTCCATTGCTACTTTATGCTTATGAAGAATGGTATTGATCCTCCAGTAGAGTTCAGAGACTTTATGATGGTGTCTCTTTTAATTTGTCACAGTCTGTATAGTTAACTTACTCAGAAAGTCGCATTTGGTTGGGTTACGATTCGGCATCAACAGACTCTAATGAGGTTTAGAGTTAATTTGCATTGCAACATTTTTCTTGTTGTACAAACATAAATACACATTTTCCTACAACACTTTTAGGTTTAGTTAGGTTTTAGGTGAACTTACAAGCTGGGACTGTTTCCTCAAATGTTTAGCTGTCTGTAAGGTACTTCTGTGCAGCATCTACAGCCCAGGTTGTAGATAGGTCAAGAGAACAGGTTTATAAAATCATAAATTCAAACCTTTTTCTGTGAGGACCACAGCTCTGATCAGGTCCCAGCCACTCTTCTTCTCAGCCAGTGACACATATCTGTCCTTCATACTTTTCAAAAATTCCTCCTGGGGAACAAACAATGAGACACACATAGTACATATAGTATATATACAGTACATGTAGAAACATGCACAGATACCCACCCCTTTATGACTGGGGTAGTCCTGGTCTATAGTCTTTTGTACTTGGTTGATCTGTTTGACCAGAAACACAACATGCTCCTTCTTCCCTGTTCGCTCATCTTCCTCTGATTGGTTTAGAACCACCATGGTCACTTTGCTGTCAAAGAACTCCCTGGCAACCGCCTCCATGATACCTGCAGGGTAGGGTAAGAAAAAGGAGTTAAGGACAGCAATGAAAGATCAGTGTTTGGTCAGTGATTCATTAGTTGTGCACTGAAGAATAAAGTTTCTGCAGGTACGTGAATATGCACAGGTTTTGTTCATAGATATTTAAATGGTCGTGTTAAAAGGTAACTGCCATCAATGGCAACTGTAAGAAGTGAGGCCTTGTAGCTACATAGTGTGTCATGGAGGGTCAGGGACAAGGGGGAGACTGACCACCACTCAGTATAGTATGGACAGATGGGTAGAGCTAATAGTCAGCTCTAACAGCCCTGAGAAACTCCTTGCAAACCCTCTAGGCTCTATTTTAACGTTCCAAAGCACATGGACTTTAGTGTGGTGCAAGTATGCAAGTACATTTAGAGCATGTTCTTAAATGGGACATATTATGCTCCTTTTCAACAAGTTTAAATAAGTCTCAGAGGTCCCCAAAACATGTCTTTGAAGCTTCTACCAATTTTGTGTATTTTGACATTACATTTTCAGTTTGTTAATGTGTGCTGGCACACAGTTACTAACATGTAGCTAGGTAGCTAATGCTAACTGTTACTGTCTCTTCATTACTGCGAGCTCTTTTGGTAAATAAGCAATGTTGTGAATTGTGTAATGTAGTTATCTGTCATGCCTCCTTAGATATACTTTTACAGTCTATGAAAATGTTTGTTGACTGAGGACTGCTACAGGTGTTCAATGTCAAGGCTAGTCAGATATTTTAATAGATGCTGACAAAGTAAATAATTTTGATTTTTATTAATTTTTCTCCATGTTTTGAGCAGATGCTCATCATGACATCTTCCTTTATGTAGTAAATTTATTTTGTGCATTACAATGAAAGCTGTAAATCAGATGTCTGTCAGCAACATTAATCTTTAGTCAAAGACGAGACTGTGCAGTGTTTTCTACATTACACTGTTGTCAAGCTCCACATTATATGCAATAAGTGACATGTTATAAATTACCTATGTTACAGTATATGCACTTGATATGTAGCCAAACTTACTTCCTACCCACCTTAGCTCCACTGTTTGTCAGTTTTTGAATTTCATAAGCTTTATATTCTGGTGAATGTTACCATTTTTCTCTATATTTTGGATAGGTGCTCCTGTGGAAACTGTGCAACCATGCCCACAGAAGCTGAGAATATGTGCTGCTAGGAGATACCACAGGTAGCATTCTCACTAGACAAACTAATCAGTAATTTGTTTTGATTACATTACATTAATAATAAACCATAGCATTTACCATTTGTAATTCACTGTAGGTTACCAGATGGCTATGGGAGTGTCCTGGGTTGGAGCCGCTCTGCCTCAATGTGTACTCCCTCCAGAATGCCTGCAACATGTACTGCGCTGACTACAGTACTTTATGGTTGAGAGGAATACACCAGTACGTTTTGCTTCTTTGTAAAAACATAGTTTCAATCTAAATAAAAGATGCTAGGCAGTCGTTTTACTTCAGTGCACATAATTTTACAATGGTAATAACACACCACAAACGGAATAACACACCCTCAAATAAATTAGTTTGGCTGCTCTTTGATTTGTAAAGTTTTTCTATCAGCAGATAGTGTGCATATAATATATGAATTCAGAGGAGTCATTTCTTTAGTAATAATCAAGCATTTATTTACATCAAATGAGGCACTTATAATCAGTGATAATAAAAAAACTGTAGGATTCACTGGATCCATAAAAAAAAATGTGAGACACAACATAGATATATGTTTGCAAGACTAAATGCCCTGTCCAGTTGTTTTAGTCGGTACAGGTATCTGGAGCTTTGTGGGCTGGTGCTAGGGCTTCCTTGGTCGCAGAATCTTGATCGTCATTCCAGCCTGCGTGGTCCACGCACCCATGCGAAGTTTCTTGACACCACAGGCCGGTACATGAGTTTTAGACTGCCCAATGATAGAACTGGGACACATAGGAGTTGACGTACTCCTTCTCAGGCCGCTAGAACTGTGCCGTGAGGTCCTCTGAGATGGGGATGGCCAAAGCAGCTTCCGTGTATGGTCCCAGGTCAACAAAGACTTTTTCAAATATGAGGTCCACCACATACCCTGTTTGATAAAACACAAAAGATTTTGTTTACATTTTTCACTTTTTTGTTGTTTTTTTACAAAACAATGATTGAAAGTCTGTTTCTAACTACCTCCTGACATTTTCTTTTCTGTATTTTGTTGTTGGTGGAACTGTCATAACATTATACGTGCAATACTTAATACAATGTGTACAAAACATTTTTTGGTTGAAAAATAAAATAATATAACACTTATAGAATGTCGGCTCAGTCTTAACTGGTTTAGCTCTGCATTCTCCCATCATGGCCTTTGGAAAGTGGACCTTGAACAGTGGTTCACCTTCTTTTGTTTGGGCTTGTGGTCGGTCAGCATTTTCATTGTAGTACATGGCAGCCAGGTAGAGTCCGGAGGTAGAGTAAAGAGAAAATCAAAGATGTTAATATTGACAGAAACCTTAGCCTACACACTCTCACAAGTTCTAAGTAACCACAGCTTCATTTACCTGCACAGCGTTCCAAGACTGATAAATGACTGTTAGGTTTATCAAAAGTAGATGCACTTCAGATGGCTACAGACCTGTACTTCTGATGTGAGGCTGAAGAATCTTCAAGGATAACTGTGTGCCTACAGTGGGTCAGTCTGGCATGCAAAATACCTTGTTGCAGGAAGCTGTATAGATGCACTTGATGTGCTGGCCTGAACAGAGAAAACAGAGGTTACACCAACATCTCCTCAAATGTGTAGTTATGGCAACAGCTGCAAGTGGTGCAAAAATTTTAACAACAAATGCACGCAATTATGTGTAAATTGGGTTGTCAATAGCTTGTAAATGCTGCAAATAGCTCACTATATGTGCAAAATGCAAAAAATGTGTATTACAGACTATCTCCTTACACATTTTCCCTGTAACTCTGCGCTCATCTAGATATTGCCTACAGGCACTGTATCTGTAAACATGATATAACATTAAAACGGACATCTAAGGCATGACTATCAATACTAACTTTCACAGCACTAACAAACAGGCCCAGACACCTATGCCAATTGCTGCAAAGCCTATGTTTAGTCTGAATTTTACTGGCTTGACTTTACAGACAGTTAAAACGCCTTTCAAGTGTGATAAAGTTAGCAGGGTGGCTCTAATCAACGTCACACAGCGATACCAAGCAGAGAAATTGCATACAATCTGTACCCGGCAATGCCCGGCTGTGTGGATGAGGCAAAACGTTAGCCACATTAGCTGCCATGCTAACAACACATGCAACAGGCTCTCGTGTACATACAGTAAAGCAACATAAAATGGTGAAATTTACAGCTCCCAAGTTTGAAGTTGGGTCTCGGACAGTCAGTGCTGATCCATGCTTTATCTTCAGAATGTAGCGAATCCTGCATTGTACGGGCCCTTGTTGAGAAAGCAGTCCGACGTGAAATGGTTAGCCCGCTACAACTCCTAAAGTGTCCATCAAAAATAAAATAAAACAAATCCACCGGGTCTTCAGATCCTCCGACGTAGGGGGTAAAAAGACTTCTGTGTTGGTTTGTACAGTCAACAACTGAGCAACTAGCGTGCTTCACTCGTACCTTCGACATAGTTTAACTGGAGCTGGTGATGCGATGGAGTAAACGATAGCGGCTGCAAGACGGACTCAGAGGGCGGAACACACACCTAGCTCGGGGAGTGTCACCCACCTGGGGGGAGGTATTATTTCCCTTCATGACGACATCAAGGGAAAATCTCCTATTGGCCTGTGTGAGCACACATTTTCTGAAAGGTGGAGCAAGCAAAAGACGGAGAGGATGGACTTTTCTCATGTTTGGGGGGTTTTTAGACAGGCCGGGGACACATATTACTGATAGAAAACCATGGAAAAGTGCATTTTGCATAATATGTCCCCTTTAAATGTCATAAAAATTACTACTGAAACTAGCAAAGAAATATGCTTTGTGCTTTGCACCTGGTGTAAGATAGGGCCCTCTGTCTCTGCTGGACAGACAGGTAGTCTGGTATGGAAGAGGAATAAGGCCACGGGAATTCTTTTAAATTTATTTATTTTTTTAGAATTCAGACTTTTTTCTCAGTATTCTGACTTTTTTCTAAGTATTTTGAGATTAAAGTCAGAATTTTGATATTAAAGGCAGAATTTTGAAATTAATCTCAGAATTCTGACTTTCTAAAACTGACCACATATGAATTTTTCTAATTTTATTTTATTTTTTTAGAATTCTGACTTTTTTTCTCAGAATCCTGAGATTAAAATTAAAATTCTAAAAAAAATAAAATAAATTTCACATGTGGCCCTAATCCTTTACCATGGTGTGGTGGAGCTACTAGAAAAACATTTTTGTCCCTTGAGGGAGTAACTTTGCAGGTATCTGTGTTGTAGCTGGGATAATATTTCTACTACGAGTGTAGTGTGTGTCTGTGGGGGAGTGTCAGTAACCATGCTATTTATAGTGATAAACATTACTATTTGTCGGCACAGTTAACAGCAGGCCCATGTGTTGTGTTTACTTCTAATGAAGAGAAATAAAGCTTATTAATTACATTTTTCCACTGATGCTCATCATGCTTTCTAATGCTAATGCAGGAAGCTGTGTTCTGATTTGCATACATGAGTCTTTTCTAATCTGTCACAAGTGCTGATTATCCAGAGAATTCAGCTAAACAAAGAGTGGAGTTACTCTTTCTGAAACACCTCTCTATGGTGCTTTGACTGTCATGAACAATATTAAGTTAACTGCTCCCACTGTACCAACAATTTCCAAGTTGAATGAACACGAGATTGGTGTCATGGATACATACAAGATAAAATGACATCCCTTCCAAACAGGAAATAGCTAAAATTAACACAATATCAAACTGCTTTATTTACATACAGGCTGCCACACACACACACACACACACTCCAATGTCATGCCTATCATTATCACAGGTGGAGTGAAACACAACAGAAAATGACCATGGATGTGACAGGCTTTTGTTCAGAGTTGGAGGGTGACAGTTTTAACTGTGGGACTTGCGTGTTTGTGTGTGTGCATGTGATGTGTACAGTTGATAGAACCAACATGGCTGCTGATGGTCTGTAAATCCCTCCAAATTGTGGGCTGTTTGTCAGTTAAAGGGCAAAGTCTTGTTATTTTATTCTGCAAATGTTAAATACTGATGTGTGGGTATACCAGGTACAATAGGGTGCAGGCCCTTCCTGTCAGAGTAGTAGTGAAGTAGCATCTTCCCATCATCTGTCATCTCTACTCGGAAAGACGGTGCATTCATTTCCTGAAGAAACAGGAACAAGTTATGAAAAAAATGGAAGAATACTAGTTTGAACTACAAAGGCAGTTCATGAAAGCAGTGACAACCCCACACAGTACAAGATGTCTAAAAGTGGACTGTAGAGATGGATTGGTGCCTGGGAGGTGATGGATCTATCTTTTGTGTGTTTCTCTGCCAATTCTTCAGGTGAACCAAAACTGTAAAATGCTACAAAACAGACAACAACTTCAATATTTTATTTATGCTCGAGATAAAGACAAGATGTCTAACTTCTTCCTTTCAGAGCATAACCACACTCACACTCATCTGGCAAATTAGTACATTTGTATTAGGGAGCAAACAATAAACAAACGTGAGAGCAAATATAGTCAAATCAAAAGATTGGGATAAAAACAATTGTGAACATCTAACATCTCTTCTTTGACTAAGCTCTTTGACTTCACAACATGAACTGTTGAAATCAGCCCCTTCATAAACAGGTTCTGCTTTTTCTTAGTCTTTAACCCTTGGTCCACAGGCTTATTAATTAACAGGTTGATTCTGATTGGAGTACAAGAGCATAGGTCAACCTAATCAGTTCTGTCTTTGTTTTGTGAAGCTTCTTAATCTTGAATAAATTTAACTAGATCGAAAAAGCTGCTTGTACTGTCACACCGTGTACTATCTGGTGCTCTGGTGCTCTAGTCTGTACATAACTGCTATCATGCCATTAGCAAGTATGCCAACTAATAGCTAAGCAGCAAATTTAGCTCCCAGAAACACAGTACTATAAACAGACTTTTAGCCATTTAACACACTTAACAAATGCATCAAGCTATGACCAAAGTCTCATCCATCTCATCAGTATATAAATAGGAATAATAACACACAAGCATACCTGATAGGACAGAGCCAGATAACTATGGAGAGCATCCAGATTTCCAATGAATTCAATTAGATTCCCTCCCAGTGTCCGCAGCATGGTGTCATAGCCCGCTTGCTTACAAAAATTAAAGAAATGTTCTCCAAAGAGCTTCAGAAATACATCAGCAGAAACATCTGAAACATCAAAACAGAGGAACAGTGTCAAAAACATTATAGATATATTAATGAAATATAATTATATAATATCTATTTATAATTATCATTTCATAGTCTGACCTCCCAGCACTCATGTTTGTCTTATTTCAACACTGGTAGCACACAGATATTCAATTACAGCCTATTCCCAAAAGATTTAGATAATTAGACCCTTAGGAAGAGCTTAATAACCTGTTGACATGTCCTGAATAAACAGTTCTTGTTATGTCTTACACATCTGTACTCATTGTTTCTCACTCTATCCATGTACCTACAAAATATGATCTATACATGTATAAATAAATAATTTACCCATCATGTACAAAGCTGCCGCTATTGTGGAGCCTAACAAATACAAAATGTGTGCATTTAATAATCATTCACAGGGGATTAAATTAAAGCAGAACCGGAATCATTACCCCCAAAAGAAGCACTGAATACCATTTTTTACCAGCTACAACAATGAGGCTTGTAAAGTTTTAGGCATTCTAGGCATTGAGGCTTGGCTAGAAGAATAAGAATAAGCTTGCACAATCAAAGAAATTCTAATTTGTAGCAAATACTTTCTTCAAGCAAATTATAGTAACACTTTTTGATGAGTAGCAGCTCTTCTGTTCAAAGAAACAAACTGGTTCAAACTGGTGAAGCTTGCAGCATGCATCTGCATTGTTTGATCCGTGTTTTTTTATGCACCTGCCATGAGTTTAAATAATTATATAAACATCCACTGGGTGTAACCTGTTGGATTTCATCAGGGACATTGTTAACACCTGAGTTATCACGTCAACACATAGATGTAGGTTCACACCTCAGACACCTACATGCTTTCATTTTTCAAGAAAGTTCAAAAATATTATCTACAATAACTATGAGATTCTTCCTTTTACTCATTTATTACAATGACAAGTTTCCACATTTATGTCACTACATTTCTGAAACAAACACAGGTACGTGTTTTTTTCTCAAAGTGCTCATAAGATAAAAAGTTGTTTTACATGAGCATGATGTGTGCACAACTTAGGAAAGTACAGTGCATTGCTAAAGTATTCAGACCTCTTCACTGTTTTCAAAATTTGTTATGTCAATATCACTTAAATTCATTGGTACCACTTTACAGTAAGATTATCCTTATAAAGGATTTATAAATGGTTTATAATTAAGTTATCAATTTGGATGTTAACACTTTATGAATAAACAGTTATAAACAAGTAAAAACATAGTTTTCCTCCATTGATGCATTGGCAAGATTGAGTTGATGCTTACTATTCATTAATCTTACCAATGACTTACTACCATTTATAACTGGTAAAAGAAGCCTTATTGTAAAGTGTGAAACACATCATTTATTTATGAGTTACTAGTACCTGGTAACTGGTAACAGCTGGTAATAAAGCTCCCTTTTACCAGTTATAAATAATAGTAACTTGTTAATAAATGATGATGGGTTTTACACTTTCACTACTTAGAAATGTTTGTATCTGATAAATAAATGGTTGTAAAAATTAAATGCCAACATTGACATTTCACACAAATGGTTAATATTTTATATGTTCTGGATAAACAGTGATGTAACCTATAACTAGTGTGAGTGGTGGAGGTAGACAACTGCAAGGTGGTAATTCTCCTTATCTAATGTGTTGTAACAGCATGTAAAAGATTTATAAAGTGTTAACGAGCTAATTGATAAACTAGTAATAAACTATTCATAAATACTTTATAAGGGTAGTCTTATTGTAAAGCGATACCAGTTAATTTTTCCCTCATCACTCTAAACCCCATAATGAAAAAGTGAAAACAGATTCTTAGACATTTTTCAAATGTACCAAAAAAGGAAAAACTGAAACATCACATTGACATGAGTATTCAGACAGTTTTCTATGACAGTTCAAATTTAGATCAGTTTCCTCCATATCTCTGGATACTCTCAGATATTTCTACACCTTGATAGGAGTCCACCTGTGGTAAAGCCAGCTGATTGGACATGATGTGGAAAAACACACTCCTGTCTATAAAAGGTCTCACAACTGACAATGCGGATCAGAGCAGAAACCATTACGTTTCTGCTGCATCGGAAGTTCTTCAGAGCACAGTGTTCTCTATCATTCTTAAATGAACGACATTTAGATTCAAGCAGGATTCTTCCTAAACCTGGCAGCTCGGCCAAACTGAGAAATCGAGGGAAAAGGCCCTTGGTAAGAGAGGTGAGTAAGAACCCAATAGTAACTCTGGCTGTGCTCCAGAGATCCTGTGTTGAGATGAGACCAGACAGACACTTCTCCTCAGTGAAAGTTGGCAAAAAAGTCTCAGACTGTGAGAAACAAGATTCTCATGAAGCCAACTGTTTGGCCTCAGTTTTGAGTGTCATGTCTGGAGAAATAATTATACTTTATTCCAACTTAACAAAACAGTGTAATTCAATTTCAACTTATTGTACTGCACTGACCTTACATTCAATGTTCTTCAGTAAGACACTCCCTAACTAGCCAGACTGTAATCACATTTTTATGGATAGGATCATCTATCCAAGTACCACAGTGCGGTCACAATGAGGTCAAAATTTCCCTTTGACCAATTCTTTTGTGTCAAAATGTACAAAATATCTCAGTTAGTCAGACTGTTCTGAAATATTGGTGAGAAAATTTGAAGTCTGATATGAATGAAATGAAAGGCATCAAAATTGATAAAAATAATTGAGCTGCTGCCAGGATATAGAGGAATTTGAACTCTTACCCAGCAGTGAGCAGACCTCCTCCACCAGTCTTAGTGTCAGGATATCGTCATAAACTGTATATGTCATGAAGGTATCCTGGACCCCTGGTAAAGAGCTATCCAAAAAACATGACCTTTATGAAATTTCTACATAAAGTTGTGAACATCACAATTGTCATCTTGACGCCAACAAGCTTTCTGCCCATTAATATATATTTTTATAATGTATATGTGTATCTATGCCCAAACCTCAGTTTGTCCCAGGTATCTTGACCAAACCTCTCCATCACCAGAGACTGGAGGCAGCTGTTGATAAATCCATACTACAAAGAACAGAAAGATTTAATCTAGTCACCAGTGTTAAAATTCAAGTCAGTGTCACAAATTCAAAGAGCATGTCATCACAAAATACATACATGGCCTTAATAGACCAAATAATGAGAGTCCTGCAGGAATTTAGATGGTATCAGAGAGTACAGAGTACATCAATTTTCCGCACAATATTTACAATTGTTTGCCAATTGCCAAACTTTAATACTATAAAATTAACAGCAGAATATATTTAATATGATACTGAAACAAGAAATTTCTAATAAAACACAAATTACACACCCCTCTCCTCAGTTATTTGTGTTACAGTTAAATGATGTATAAAGAAAATTTTTGCTTTTAATGATATTCATGTTTTTAGTTTGTCTAACATACACTTGTTGCTGTGTGTGTTATGTACTGGGTAATTTAATTTTAGAAAATTTTCCTGCCTGACTATCTTGGATTTGCTTCATACTTTGTGTAAATTATATCATTGTACCCAAAAACTAATGGGCAAAATTTTGGCTTGTTCTTTAAATCATACACTCCAGTCAGGACCTGGGGTCTTATGTCTTCCGTGGCAGAGGCAAATCCAGAAAGATATCAAATAAGAGAGCACTAATGCTCACTCCACCACCTGAACTCTCATTGCACCACAGGTACGATCTTCTGACCAGTACTAATGATGCTGAACCTAGATACGCAAATAACACCACTAGCATTAAGGATAACCAAAATCCAAGAAATAGCCCCAAAATCAGAGCTAAGCCGAATGTCAGAAGTTACTTGGCTAATTACGTTGAACACAGGGAAGCTTATAAGTTTAAACAAAACTCAAGAAAAAGCCCCAAAACCACTGCTAGGCCGAGGGCCAGAAGAAATGTTTTAACTTCACACCTGAGCCAGACAGTATTTTGATTGAGGACTCAATAACTAAGCGTGTAGAAATGGCAAAGACTGAAAATGTAACCATGACTGACACATCTGTCAGGAAGCTAACAGATATTAGTAGCTATCCTCTCTACAAACGCAAGCAATATGAAAGTTTTTATCCACACTGGATCATTTGACATTCTGCATAGGAAAACTTGCTCAGAGAGCCATAAAAAAATCTTTTCCCTGCTACTGGAAAAACTTAGTGACTCTCAATTGCAACATATTCACATTCCAACTTTCCTTCAGTAGACTCCTTGGCCTGAACACATGGCTGACATCAGCATGGCTCACCCATGGGATAGGGGGAGACCAGGGAGTGTTGTAACGCCGGGTTAGAGACCAGGAAGTGTTGTAACACTGGGTTAGTTGTAAAACTGTTACTTCGACCATGATTATGCTTTGCATTCATGCTCACGTCAAACCCACATGCTAGAATTGTTAGCCATGTATTGGCTGCTTGGGGTGGGGATAGTTACAACCATCAAATGATGACTCAACTTAAGCCTCAGGTGTATACCTTGCAGCCATCTACATTTGCCACAACTGAGATAGTGATTGAAGCCTTATGTGACCCATGCACATTCAGGAATACAGTCCACACACACACAGGCTCACACAAACACAAACACAGATACACACAGTACTGTAATTGATTTTACCTGTCATTGTAACACTATCTCCAGTTACAACTCACCCCAGTAGTGGGGTAGGCTGTAACAGCAGAACTCCTGTGTCTCCCCCCTCACCTGACCCTCTGCTTGACGTTATGCAAGGCATTCTGAGGATGTCTCTGTCACAATCAGGGACACAGCGACCCCACTCCCTCCTTCCCTCCACCATCTGCACCAATTAATGAGTTAGTCAAAGCTGCCATGCTGAAGCTCAGTCAAACAACAAGACCCAAAGGTGTCTACCAGAGATGAGACAGACCCCATGCCTCTTCCTTCAATATACCAGTGATTTTGAAAACAGCATGGTCAAACACATTGCAGCAATCACAGACCATCTGGTGCCTGTCTCAATAATCTTAAATTTGTCTGCCACAACCATTCTCCCTTTCTGTCACACATTCCCAATGGCTGAAATTAGTCATAGTCAGTGGCAATATAACAATTACAATATATTTGTAGTTGTGTTAAATCTTTTGCAAAGCTTTCAGTGTGATTGTTGAATGAAAAGTAATCTTCACAAGAGAACTGGGTGAAGAATTCCAGAAATCAAAGTCCTTTTTGTGAATTTGAATTGTGATCTCTTTATCAATACATTTTTAACAGTTGTGCAACATCACCATTGACATCCTACATGTACTGAATGCTGTGATTTCTTGATAACTTTGTAAGGATTATCTTTATTTGAAATTGTATCTCAAATGTAATGCATTTTAAATGATTTATCTATTTATTATTTATTATTATTTATTTATTTATAACACATTTAATACAATTACTATTATTATTATTAAAATATAGTAATTATATATACATATATATATACATATATATATATATATATATATATAGTATTATCACTCACTGTGCTGCAGAACAGAGAGGTTCAGGAGATCCTTTGTTCCCACTGCAGTTAGGCTATACAATAAACCTAGCCAAAGGATGTTGACTGAATTTGAATTTAATTATTGTTGTTTATTTAATATTAAGTGTTATTGTTATTATAACCAATCAGCTAATTGGCTCAGGACACAGACTGCTCTCAGTGCAGATGCTTTTCTGCTTGCTCTTGCCTTTGCTCTTACTTTTGTGAAAAAAGTTGTATTTTTAGAAGACATGTTTGATCAACTGTGAACTCACAAATCTGCCATAATGCATGTAACTTGAAATTGGAGAGTCTTAACTGTGATAGTTGCTTGATTTATCTCTTACATTATGGCAGAGGCATCTGAACAATAACATGGAATCCTGTCTGTTGCCTGCTGCACCTATTTAACTGTTTGTCAGTGATCACTGTGTTTGTTAATATATATTACCTTGTTGTGTTTTGTAAACCACGAGTATTTAACTCGTGCTTTGCATTTTTTCTGCTGATATTCTTGTTTTTCTTCTGCAATAACCTATGAGCAGGGTTAGGGTTAGGGTTAGGATACTCTTGGATACTTATTAGGCTCTTGGATACTTATAAATCACTGGGACTAATTTTTTGTAGATATTGTAGGCTATTAGCTATATTTCAACATTTTTATGACCACCTCAGTACTATGTGAGTGAGGCCTACCAGCAACACAAGCCTGTACTGCAGTGACGGGAAATGTGGCACTTAGCTAAAGCTAATTAGCAGCAAGATGCCTCCCTTCTCCACGGACAACTACCACAAACTTCTACAGAAGATTGCAGGACTGTCAACCGGATAATAAATCTACAACTTGTAGTCCAACTGGAACTCTCTTGGAGCAAAGCCTAAGAGTAAATCATTTCCCGGGAAAATGGGAGGATGAGTAACAGGCAGAGCCCAGAGCCCTGAGATTTGTGATGCAACTGGCTGGCCTGCATTACCATCCAGGCAGAGCGCTTCTTCAACCCCTGTTCTTAGTAGGACACAACCGTGGACAGCTGCGAAAGGGAGAACTAACAAGAAACTTCCCCAACAACCGAGTGTGCATCTGGAGAACAGATTTGCTCGACTGCTGCAGGACCCTGGATCTCTGTCTGATGACCTGGATAACCTCTCATCTTCACATAGCAGGGTAAGGACTGAGAGTAAATCAGAAAGGCTACAGGGAAAGCTAACGCCTGGGCCTCAAACTGTGATTTTGGGTGACTGTGCTGTAAAAGATTTAAGAAGCATGTGCAGTAAAAACAGAAAAATACTCTGCTCTCCCAAGGATATGGTCTCTGATATGAGAGAATCCTGCATATCATGGCTGCACATCCAAATGTGAAAAACCTCATACTGCACATAGGGACCAATGATGTTGTGAAACAACAGTCTGAAGTGCTGAAACAAGTCTTTATTGATCTGTTATACACAGTCAGCTCTCTGAATGCTGAGGTGTTTATCAGTGGCCCTCTACCACAAGCAGGAAAAGAGTTGAAAGATTCAGCAGATTGTTGGCACTGAACACGTGGCTCTTAGTTGCATGTACTATCCATTTACTGCACTTTATTCACAATTTCAACTTTTTCTGGGACCGCCGATATCTTTTTAAGGCAGATGGACTTTTCCTTACAAGTCAGGAGTAAAATTGTTCATCTCTAACTTATTTTACTTCCTGCGACACACATCTGTACCATCTGCCAAGGACAAGTGACAAGAGGAGGAGAGGAGGAGTCTCCACCCTCCTCAGCAACTTCCACCTTTGAGGACTCACCCCTTCACCCCCCCCAAACCCCATCCAGATTACTCTACTCTCCAATCACCCTTTCCCCCTCCTCCCCCCTCTTGGAGTTCACTGACCAGATGAAAGAGCTGGTCACTGCAGGGACCAAACTTACACCCCGCCCTACTCCCTTTTTCTCTCCCCGAAACCCCCCTCGGCATCCACCTCCACCAATAGCTTTAAGTCCTTTGTTTAATGATTCCCTCCAATGCAAACAGATGTCTTATGGACACTTTGATTCTTTTGAATATGTGGCTCGTCAGTTGAATTCCTCCTCTCAAGCTATATTTCTAAATATCTACAGGCCACCTAAATACTGTGCTACCTTTCTTGAAGACTTTGCTGAACTGCTATCTATAATCTGTATTGACACTGACTGTAGTTATTGTTGGTGATTTTAACATCCGTGTTGACAACCCCCAGGACAGAGGGACTACAGAACTATGTTATATTCTTGATAACTATGGACTGATGCAGCATGCGACAAAGCCCACACACAATAAGGGGCACACTCTGGACTTAATCATCTCCAAGGGTCTGAACATTTCTAAGGTTGTGGTGACTGATGTTGCTCTCTCTGATCATTCCTGTATTTTCCTTGAGAGTGCTATCTCCGTGCACACAAATGTTCAAACAGAATACACAAAACGGTATATCACTAAAAACACCAATGAAATATTTATTCAGGCTTTCTCTTCCGCACCTGCCCTAGTGCCCTAACCCTAACCCTAAAATTATAAATGTTATTGATGCTATTGTACCCACTAAGGTGAAGGTTGTCTCTGGTAAGAAAAGATCTCTGTGGAGAACACTGGTCAGAATGGAAAAAAGAGAGTGTCGAAAAGCTGAATGCAGGTGGCAAAAAACAAATCTCCATATTCATTATGACATCTAGGAAGAGGGACTTCACATTTATAATTTAGAACTGAGAAATGCAAGGCTGTCCTTCTTCTCTGACATCATGGCCAAAAACAAAAATAATGCACATGCCTGCTGCCGACAGGCTAACAAACCCTCCTGTATCAGTAGCCCCTGAACTTTTATCCACCAGGGCCTGCAATGAATTTGCCTCCTTCTTCACTGAAAAAATTCAGAAAATTAGGTAATTACACATCTGAGCAGACAAAAATGATATGCAGAGTTCCATAAGGAAAGATTTGATGTGCCAGAATTTTCGTCAATTAAACAAAGACAAAACTGAAGTAATTGATTTTCCAGCCAAGGAAGAACGATTAAAAATCAGCACTCAGTTTCAATCGATAATGTTAAAAACTACAAACTAAGCCAGAAATCTTGATGTAGTCATGGACTCAGACCTGAATTTCAACAGCCAGACAAATACAAAGTCAGCCTTCTATCACCTTAAGAATATATCAAAAATTAAAGGGCTTATGTCTCAGCAGGATTTGGAAAAACTGGTCCGTGTGTAGCATGTGCACTGTTCCTCGCCCCTCCTAGTGCAGCGCTGTGGTTTTTGTCCCACTGATTGATGGGCGGGGCCACACCTTTTATATAGGGGTCTGGTTCCATCCGCCTCTCTCTCTTGTCTTCCGGGGCCATTCGTCCACTGTGGTGGTGTGGTGTGGCGGTGTGGTGTGGCTGGTGCAGGTGTGAGGAGCCATTGTGGTGTGGCTGTGCGCACACCGGAGTGCTGTTTGGCGTGTTGGCCATCGTGGCGCACGCTCGTTCTGCAGTGTACAGGTATGCACACCGCCATTGTCCCTCCTGCTTAGCGTGCCATATTGCGCAGCAGTGACAGTCCATTCTCTGCTGCAGGTGTTGGATCACTGTCGCCGTGGGGACCGGGCTGCCCTGCCGGAAGCCCCTTGTGTGGGTTTGTGCATCCTCGTGGTGAGTTGCCGTTGTCCGTTCTCCCTCCTCCTCCTTCCTTCTTGTTCGCCCCTGGCTAATTATTAATTTGTGCCACAGTTTGGACCAGGCAGAAGTCGGGGAGTAACTCCGCTGCTCGGCCTGCTGTGACACTGCGCCGGTGAGGTCATTCGGAAACTGATTCACCGCCACGGCTCGCTGGATGGCGTTGCTGTTTTGGCTCTATTGGTCTTGTAATTGTAATTTCAACTTCTTTGTAAGATACCCAACCTCCCACCTTCTCACCAAGATATCAGGCTTTTAATTGTAATTGTAAATTCAATTCCTTTGCATTTCAACTACCTGAGACACCCAACCTCTCACTTTCTCATCAATATTCAAACCCTTTTGTATTTTAAATTGTGTAGACTAGACCTTTTTACTTCACACTTCAGGGGGTCGGTGCCAATACCTGCGAAAGACAAAAGAGTGTGGAAGCACACCATAGGTAAGAGACCGACCCCACAGCAGACAAAGGACGTGAAACACACCACAGGGGTGGGCCTTTCCCTCAGGTATAAATGTCTAAGGTTCCCCATGCTCGGGGGTCTTTCTTCATTTTGAACCGCTCGCATGTTGATTGACTTTTTCTTTGCAAAGAAAATAAAACCTTGTCGGCCGAATATTGATTTAATTTCATTTGATTTCTTTTGTGTTGTTGTTTGCATTCTATTTGAGATTTAATTCTTTTTGTTTTGTTAAAATGATTATTCATTTGAGTATCGTTTCATTGAGTTTGATTTCTTTTGTAGATTGTTAATTGCCTGTCATATTATATTTGAGAAGTGAGATTATTTTGTTATTTACTTTATCACTTATTATTGTTTGGTGTGTGTGTGTAGTGGTAAAGTGTGGCCATTTTATTGTTCTTTCTCTCCCTGTGGACAGGTGCTGTGGGCTCTGGGCGGCGACCCAATCCCTGGTGGTGGTTCTTCACGTTTTCAGTTTGTGTGTGCAGTGTCACGGGTGTTTTAGTTTCCCCCCTCCCTCATTGGTTTCGGGCCGCCGAGGTAACCCAGCACTGTCCATCCCCCCTTCTCCTATGGCCCAGTGTCTAACATTAAGTGCTTAGACAGCATCCATGGAACATTCTTTTAGTAATCATTGTTAATAAAATTTGTATCATGAACATTGTCTTTTGCCCCGTGGTGATTACAAACTTGCGTAGCTTTTAGTTATTGTTTATAAATATTTGTTATTATTTCCTGGGGTGCAATTCCCCAGGTGGCGTTGTTCGGCAACAAAACTCATCCTATGACCGCCACTCTTGCCACACGTGCATTTATCTTCAGCAGACTTGACTACCATAACGGTGTCTTCACAGGTCTCCCTAAAAAATTGATCAGACAGCTGCAGCTAATTCAGAACCCTGCTGCTCGAGTCCTCACTAAGACCAAGAAAGTGGATCATATAACTCCAGTTCTCAGATCTTTACACTGGCTTCCTTTCTGTCAAAGAATTGATTTTAAGATACAGCTGTTGGTTTATGCACTGAATGGTTTAGGGCCAAAATACATTTGTGATCTGCTGCTACGTTATAAACCATCTAGACTTCTCAGGCAGTCTGGGACAGGTCTGCTTTCTGTGCACAGTAAAAACTAAACATGGAGAAGCAGCATTCAGTTTTTATGCTCCACATATCTGGAACAAACTCCCAGAAAACTGCAGGTACACTGCAATTCTCAGGTCTTTTAAATCACAGCTGAAGACTTTTCTGTTTGCCACTGCCTTTTAAACCAAATTTGAGAGTTAATATTTTACACTGCACTGTAACTTTTATTCTCCTGTTTTATCTTATTTCTTTTTAGCTTCTTTTTATTTCCAAATTCAACATTAATTGTATTTAAATGTCTTTTTACTTGTGTTGCTTTCATATTCTGTCTTGATGACTTTTATGCTCTATGTAAAGCACTTTGATGCCTTGTTGTTGAAAGTGCTATACAAATAAACTTGCCAATTGGACACATGAATTTTGCCTAGGGAATAAATAAAGTATCTATCTATCTATCTATCTATGATATTTCAGAATTTTTACTGTGCCAACAGCCAAATATAGAAAAAATCTGTAACTTCATATCCTTTCCATAGACCTTTGAAAAAAAAAAGTCAAATATAGAACTTGCAATATGAAATTTTTTATATTGTTTTTAGTGGTGAGACGAACAAAACATTTGGTTGCATCAATGAATTCTTTGACTCATACCAAAACCCAAAACATTACAATGGACAATTGTTGGCAATGTTACATCTCTGAAAGAATATTATATTAGTATATTAGTATTAATCCCCTTGTCTTTAATATGTCAAAATAAGAAGACATACTCACCATGTCTGTATTTGGTGTTACCCCACTGAATTCTTCAACCACAATGGAGCAAATGTAAAACACATTTTACACTCTCTCACTCTCTCTCTCTCTCTCTCTCTCTCTTTCTCTCTCTCTCTCTCTCTACTCTACACACCTCACATATAAACAGATGTCTATAGATAGGAACATTTTAATTTCTCTAATTTTGATGGACTATATCTATCTAGTCCTCAATCGGGGGGGTTGGGGCTTTAGCCACTTACGAGTTATAGCTTTATTACATGCAGCCAACTGGATTGTCCTAAGGGTTCTATTTTTGGAGTATATCTCTTGTGGAATATTGCACAGGTAAAGAACATCAAATCTAAAAGGGATAGTGGTTCTGAATATATCCTCTAAAGGCTGATGGATATTCTTCCAATAATTGGTTAAAACAGGACAGGATCAGAATATATGATAATGATCCGCATTATTGACCTGGCATTGTCTCCAGAAATCTGAGTTATTAGTTCTATGTTGCTTTTGCAGAGGAGTGATAAAGAATGGAACTGGACACTTAGAATTAACTTAGAATTAACAACTAAGCAAGCTTGTGGCTTTCAACTGTATTTGGCAGACCATATGCATATATGTTTTAGATTTGGAATTATAGGACGATTTAAAAAGTTTCATCATTCCATCCTCTAGATTCTCCAAATCAGCATCTTTTAGGATTGTTCTCAAGTAGTGTTGCATTGGGAAATCTATATAAGTCCTGCTGTTCCAAATTATATTCTTCCCTCATACTCTGAATGCTCTTTAGTGCCCCCTTGATTATCCAAGTGCAATAAGTTGCCACTCCCTTCCTTTTCCCACATCGTCATTCAAATTGGGGGAAAATAGCTGTCAAAGGCTCACCACCTCAACAGTTTTGCCGTTTTCTGTATATTGCACAATTTTTGAACTTCCTTCCAAATCTTTAGAGACAAATAAATGTCTGATAGATGTTTGACTAGTGTTATATTAGAAATAATCACTTGAAGAGGGAACCTATCAGACATTGCCTGCTCTAATTCCTTCCACCTAGCCAAATATCCAGAGATGCACCAGCATATGAGAGGCCTCAGCTGGCTAGCATAATAATACTCCAGCAGACATGGAAGCCCCATTCCCTCGTCTTCTTTTTGGAGTTGTAAAGTTTTATATACTGTATATTATCTCAATTTTCTGCCATTCCAAATATATCTGGATATGAGTGTGTCCGATTCCGCAAACTGTTGAGGTAGCACTTCAGCGGGCAATGTTTGAAAAAGAAATAATAATTATGACCGATCCTACTCTTAAACCTAAATTGAGGAATGGGATAACATTTCACCTTCCTACATCTGCCTTTAATTTGGATGACTGATCTTAAACTTGGCTCATTCCTCGTGTTCTTCTGTGAACGAGGTGCCAATCAAGGCAACCCAGCTCTGTTGAGATCTTGTTTTTAAAGTCAAGGTGGCGAGTACAGGTCAGTTGCTTTATTACTTTACAATCTGTGTGAAAAGTGTGAAAATTCCTTTCTGGTTAAACAAAGATTAAAAATTTCAAAGTGGCCATACTTGGACAAAGTTTTCTCTCACAGAGGAACTCTGAGGCGGATGAGGATGACTCCTGACATGCTGTCATCTACTGCAGTTACTCAGAACAACTAGTAAAGAATAGAAGTAGCACAGGAGGACGAATGACCAACAAAGCTACAAATAAAAGCCTCAAGTAAAGCCTGAGAGAAAACAGGAAGTAGGATTGATGTCTATTTTCGGTTCAGGTGGTTCCTCCCTCCGAGTCCCCAGGGAGCAAAGAGACTTCTGCTCTCCTCAACACTCTCCAACTTCTCACCGCCACTGGGTGTTTTTTTTTTTCTTCTTTAGAGGTGATGTTGAAATTGAGTTGTGCAGTATTTTGACAGGACACATGGACACTACACAGTGTCAGATGTACGTACTGCATTCTAAAATTATCACAAAAACAAAGTCTTAGAGCCTTGAAGAAATGAGGAAGGGGAACTAAGAACTTTCAGACAGTTTTCTAATTCTTTCAGTCAAAACCCTGTGATGTGTCCAAAATGAGTCTCAGAGCTCAAAAACAAGTCTACTGCCTGCAGGTGTTTTGTGAAAGCCCAGGTGAAAAAGAAATATACCTAAGTTGTGCTTTTTTCAATGCACTTATCACATTTTAATTGTTCTATACTAAGTGCATATTAAATGTGTTATTTTGGAACAACTTAAAGTATATTAAGTGTTCTTTTAAACTCAACTTTAAGATAATTGCAATATATTTTAATATACTTAGTTGTGTTAAAATGGAACAATTTAAAGAAGTACATTTAAGTCACAGTAAAGGTATTTCTTTAAATTTCACTTAAAATACCCTTTTGTACTATACCTGAAGAACAGTTTGAATATATTTTAAGCTTCACATAAATGTGTTCTCTGAACATTTTCATTAGCATATGTGCTTACAAATAATTTGT